TAGTTTTGCTGAGTATATTTAATACGTTTCTCTTCTATCTTCTGCTTCTTTAATGGACAGTCCCTTGAAATGGCCAAGTGATTGCCACTACAATTTATGCAGACAATTTCTTCCACATCACATTCTTTGTAGGAATGTTGACCAGCGCAAGATGAGCACATTTGGGTACTTCTGCAAACTTTAGCCGAGTGATTGAATTTTAGACATTTGAAACATTGTAGTAGCGGGAGTATATACTGGTGTACTTTATATCTAAAAAGTTGTATATTTAGGCAGGCAGGTTGTTGCAAAAGTTACTGCAACTGTGGTTAAAGGTGTGAGTGTGTTGTCCAATTTTTTCATGAAGCGCTTAATGGATATTACTTCTGCATCACAAACTAAGTTTTTGTATATATCTTCATTTGTCATGTCTGTAGGAACAAACTTTAGTACACCAATTTTTTCCGTTAGATGAGACGGGATGAAGGCCTTCATTTTATTAATAGATAAAAAGTCGTCCTGTTTCAAAAAATAGTTAGCGGAGGACGCTTTTTTAAAAGTCACCCCAATTTTATGAGCGTTCACACGATGAACCCCTACTATATCTGTAACATGTTCGGTGAAAAGTTTTGTAAGGGAAATAGGGTTTCGATTTCCTATTTTGTCTTGCTCAGTGGATACCACATAAACGACAAACTCATTTGTGCTGTTATCTAAGAAAAGACGTTTATAATTGGGTTTGATAAAAACATTGTACTTTTCATTTTCTTTCTTTCTCGAATTATTAGAAATATCATTATACTTCCTTTTCCTCTTCTCTGCAGGATCTTCCCCATCACTCTGGGCACCCATCTCCAATCCCTAGCAGTTTTTCGTTGTTTTTGTGCGCAGAAAGGCTAATTAAATTTTAAATTTAATTATGAGGAAAATTAAAAGCTCCCGCTTCAAGTTTGACTTCCCGCCAAAAAGTCTATGTTTTCGGTGCTGCCATGGTGGAGGAGAAGAAGAGACGTGAAACGAGCGGACGATGTCGCGACAGGAGCGGGCAAATTAGGGAGGTTTGTTTCCCTGATTGACTGCCTTTATTTTTGAGTGTGTATACGGTTGGTCGCAGATAGAGATGGGTTTCTGCCCAGGCATTTTGGGCATATTCCGTATTTGCCCAATAAATGTCCATTTCTGTCCAATAAATGTCCTTAAGACTGGGCATTTATTATTTTTGTTTCTTTTTTTTTAGGTAAATAACTTTATTTAAATATTTGATGATTTTATAGAGAAGGCAAATTCTTTTCCTTAGATTTTATTAAAAATGTATATTTCGGTCCATAAAATAATATTTTCGTGACAAGTGTTACGAAATATGATTAGATATTATTCATTTGGGGTGGTTTAGGAACTACCAAAAAAACAAACTCATGAACTCAACAAATGGGTGATGCACAAGCATCTCAACCATTTGTGTTATTTGCATCCCTTTCGCACGATGTATAAGTGACCTTGAATAAACCAATCAGAGAGCCTCGATTCCCATCACCTTCTCTGCGTCTCTGGGTTGTTCTTTGTTGGTTATCAGATGGGTCAGTTTCAGACGCCCGTGTGCACTTGGCGTACCCGCGTACTTTAATAGTAAAAAAATATTTTTCATAATTTAGACAAAGTTTCGGCTATTTTGGGAGTTAAGTAATATTTCTCTTATTCTTGTCTATACTTTAAAGGTTTTTTCTGTACTGATCATATTGGTGAAGCCAAACCTGTGGGTGGCTATTTTATTTGATCAGTTAACAAAAATTATGGTAATAAAATATTCTCATTTCATAATTTCAGTCTTTTTATTATTACTTTACTTAAGTACTTACTTTTAAACTTAATATTAATCATGTCAGCCGTACGACGCCCACTGCTGATCATAGGCCTCCCCCAAGGATCTCCACACCGATCGGTCCTGCGCCACTCGCATCCATCGGCTTCCCGTGACCTTCACAAGATCGTCGGTCCACCTTGTAGGGGGCCTGCCCACTGAGCGCCGTCCGGTGCGTGGTCGCCATTCCAGAACCTTTCCGCCCCAACGGCCATCGGTTCCTCTTGCTGCGTGTCCCGCCCACGGCCACTTCAGCAGAGCAATCGTTCGAGCGATATCGGTTACTTTGGTTCTCCTACGGATTTCCTCATTTCTGATTCTATCGCGTAGGAAAACACCGAGCATCGCTTTCTTATGAGACTCGTTGTTTTGAGTGAGCGTGGTCCTTTAGGAGGACGCTTCCGTAGGTCATCACTGGCAATACACACTGGTCAAAGACTTTAGTCTTGAGACACTGAGGTAATTTGGACGCGAAGACTTTCCGAAGCTTCCCGGACGCTGCCCATCCGAGCTGGAAGTTGGGCTTACCTAACTGGACTGTCTGTCCTAGCTTAACGTAACAGTCGGCAACTTCGAATGTAGTGTTTCCAATTTTAGCTGAAGCAAGTACTATATAGGACATTTGACATAATTTTCGTCATATCCATGTTTATCTTAAGACCCACTTTTTGGGGAGCTCTACTAAGATCTTCGAGCATCGTATTAAGATCTTTCAAGGTTTCAGCCATAAGAACTACATCGTCGGCGAAACGAAGGTGCGAAAGGTACTCGCCATCAATGTTAATGCCTCGTCCTTTCCAATCCAGAAGCATGAAAATATCCTCCAATGCTGTTGTGAACAGTTTCGGAGATATCTCATCTCCCTGTCTCACGCCTCGCTGCAGTTGGATAGGATTAGAGCACTGGTTCTGTAATCGGACTGACATAGTGGCGTTTTCGTAAAGGTACCTTAATACCTCAACATACCTGTAGTCTACTTGGCACCTTTGAAGAGATCGAAAGCTTTCTCATAGTCCACGAACGTCAAGCAAAATGGCAGATTATTCTCTTCGGTCTTCTGTATAACCTGCCGCAGCGTATGAATGTGGTCTATGGTACTGAAGATTTTCGGAAACCGGCTTGTTCGGGAGGTTGAAAACTTAATAATATAATATTTAAATTAAGGAAAGATTTGGCTTTAGTCATTCAAATCTACAATTAAGTATAAAAGCATAAATCTAAACTTATATTTGTTCCATCAATCATACTAAAAATGCGAGGTAGCTTTATAGCTACCTCGGATTTTTTAGTATTGATGGAACAAATACTTATATAACCACTGATTTTAATGTAAATGACTTAAGATGAACGCTTTTGATATTTATATAAAGGACCCTGAAGAAAATGCGAGTAAATTGTTTATTATTAACTCCATAAATCAGACTTAAACATGTTATATAAAGCTTATGAGTTTTATTTCTGTTATATATATCCTAACCTTTAGCTTTCTCACGTTAACAATGATATGAACGAACTCATTTTTATTAAAATCAACTAGCTATTTGCCACAATTGTGTTCAATGTTTACATTTGAAACGTGGGTAAGCTCTACCGAGGATATGAGATTTAAAAATCAGTTTTGTGACGGTATTTTTATCTAACGAGTTTTTGCCCAGCGACTGGATATTTATTTGGACGTAAAAACGTTTTATCCCTATTTGCCCAGTATATGCCTTTTTTGCCCATTTGGGTTTTTACCCTTGACCCATCTCTAGTCGCAGATGACCTTTACAGCGTCACCGGGTTTGGAGACGGCGAGATCCTAAGGGGACCTCAAGCCGAGAATTGGCGGGTGCCTCTAGAGGTATTCCAGGCGGATGGCATCTCCCCACGGGAGGTTTCTTCTCCGTCTGAAAGCGTCTCTGAGACTCGAACCTCGGCTCTAGTTAGCCGTTGTAGTGGGGGGCGAGGAAAAACGCCCAGGTACGTACCTGTACCTAGTATAGCGTGTCGTGTGTAAACCGGGTCTTCGCACTCTTATCCTACGGGTGCGGTGTCTGCCTAATGCTAAGCTAGTGTGCAAGTATTGTAACGTCGTATCTACGCCGTCACATACATAAATAAATAATATATGGTTTGACATCCGTCACTTAAGGATTTTCCCTATTTTTTTTAATAAACGAAACACATCTTTAAAAATTGTCTTAATTTCATAAAACATTAAAATATATACGTAATAATTGTCATTCTAAATTTAAGTAAACTTTTGTAATTTATGGTTTGTCCATGCCCAAATTTAAATTTTAATGCGCCAACACTGAGACTCGCGGCGTTATTCGAAGTGCGACCTGGCAACATTACTTTTCGATTCCTTGCGGAGATGAGCAGTCACTTTTTTAAAATGTGAAATATAATAACCTTAAATATAACTTGTTTTTCAAAAATGCGCTCACCGCATTAATGTGAATTAATATATAATTGGCCCAATGGCCCTCTAGTAAAACTTTAAAAGAGCTGCGATTGCAGGTAAGAATTAAGATTAAAATTGTCATACATATATCTAGCCATGTTGCCTGGTCTCACAATGGTCTCTTTTGTTTCAGCTCTTTATACTCTTTATAATCCTTAATTTCTTTAGCTTCATCTTTAATTTTAATGATATCTTTATAAATATCATTTTGATATCTTTGACCATGGACCAGCCATAATAGTCTAAGTAAATCCAATACTTAATGTACTTTGACGCCTGGAATCCAATCTGGTATGTACACTTTCACAATAAATAATTGAAGAGGAAAACACCTTTATCATTCAACCCTAGTCAAAACTGGCCTTGAGATTAAAAGCTGATGTTCCCGTAAGTTATTCCGGACACCTGGAGATGTTACCAGCTTCCCGGCGCCCGTTACAACTCTCACTTTAAATGGAAGCTGAGACGCTAAATCGGCTACCATCACCCGGCCATCACCTCCAGCCTTTTTCGTTCTTTTTTTGAAATAACTAACTAGATAAATAGTTACACAGTTTTTTTAATTTTTTTACCTTACAGTATGCTAGCTGTGTAGTGTTGGTGCTTGTGGCCTGTGCGGGAAGAGTCGGAGGCGGAATGACTGCCTGCCGAAGAGATGCGTACGCGCCGGGTGGAAGAGTACTTACATTTAAGGTGCGGTATATTTATACTTACTTGTGTAACAATAAAGCTCTATTCAAAGCAGTGTCTCCAGTGAGGGCAGTTGAATTCATATCAATATTGTATTCTAATAAGCAAATCAACAATTCCTCGAACTCTTCTGGACAGTCTATACTTTCAACGGCTATATGCAACACATTTGCACCAGTTATGCTGTTACATGCATTAACATTTGCTCCTGTAACAAAAAAGCAATGTTATTTATTTCATGCATTTTTTTAAATAACCGTTTCCATAATTTATTTTTAATTTGAATACCTCTTTCAAGTAATATGCGTGCCACATTCGGTTGTGATACACGCCCCGCTAATAACAACGGTGTATCACCATTATCATTGTGTAAATTGATCCCACCACCAACATTAGCAAGCATTTTTACTATCAATTCCTATAAATGAACAGATTATAAATAATATTATGTGAAATTAGTACTTAACAATAAAGTTAAATTATTTATTTGTGATATTATTTACTAGCGGCCGCGCGGACTTAGTCAACTTTGGATTTTAGGGAATCCCACAGGAACCTAACATTTTCCGGGATATAAAGTATCCTTATTAAATAAAAAAATAAATATTTCCAACACACACCAATTAGCCTAGCCCAAAGAAAGCACTGTAAGGCTTGTGTTATGGAATGCTAGGGTAACGGATAGATTATGTAATACAGTACATATATAAGTATATTTATATAGCAATACATATTAAACATCCATGACTGGAGTACAAAAGCTCGTGTTCATCACACAAACAGCTGCCCCCACCGGGATTTGAAACCGGGACCTCTCAAGTCGGCGACACCATGAAACCAGGCGTACAAACCACTCGGCCACGGAGGTCGTCGTCGTATTCTCATAATCAAATGTACATACCAAACACCCAAATCCATTCAGTAGTTTTTGCGTGGTTAAGCAAGAAACATACAAACACAAAAACATATTTATAATATTAGTAGGAAGTAGAATTACCTGTCTTTGAATAATAGCATTGTGCAAAAGTTTATGGGAGTGTGTGATTCGAGCTCCAGCTGCTAGCAAAACCTCGACTACTGTTGTAAATCTCTGCCAAACCGCTTCACAGAGTGGTGTGTATCCTGTAACATCAAAATAAAATAAGTAATAAGGGACTACACGAAATATTTCAAGGGGAGTGTAGCCAAAAAAAGAAATAACAAAAAAATATTTAGTTCTTATAATGTGTTTGGTTGTAACTAACTAACCTCCTTGGCTTGTTCACAAGTTACAAGCAAAATAGGTGTTAGTTACAATCAAACTGCACACTGCAAATCTTATATTCTAAAGTGGGTTTCAACTCCATTAAATGGTGGAATAATTATTATGTATTTTCTGACTAAATTGTCACATCTAAAGAAAATATAATTAGAAAAAAATCCACGCGGACCAGGCAGCAGACGGGACTCGAACCCTTCGCTATCCGGGCGAATTGCACTGATCAATTATACTACCGCGGCCCTGATGGCTTCTAGCCATTCTTAAGCTGCAAGGCAGCGCCATCTCTTCGCATTAAAGGTAACTCAAAATCTGGGGATGTGTCCACCTTACAAAAGGCTGCAACCAAAGATTATTAAGGATTTTTTTCTAGTGATATTTTCCTTAGATTTAAACATCAAGCAGTTACATGCTTTAAAAAAATAAAAATTATAACTAAATTGTCAGATTTATGAAAATCCACAGTGTTGTATTTTCACAACAAATAATGAATTAAAATTCACATTGCAGCCCTAAAAGGAATACGATTAATTATGAAGCAACTAACCATGTATCTGTTCACTGTTAACATTAGCTCCCATTGAAATAAGATATTTCACTACATCAATATGCCCTCGAACTACAGCCAAGTACAATGGTGTACGCTCACTGGTATCTCTTGCCTCTAAATATGCCCCATTACTAACTAAAAGTTTTACCTGTAAAAGCAAACAATACACAATTTAAATAAATATGTATGAGTTAGTCGCAACCATAGTTTGTATTAGAGATACTAAATAAGTACTTTTAACCACATATTATAACAATCACAACTTGATAACACTTAATATTTGTTGTCATCATGCAATTAAATACCCCCTCGGGATTTGAGACCAAAACTATTAAATAAACTATTAAGGCAGTAGTTTATAGGTCTTGGCAAACTTCTTGAGCAAAAACAAATAAACTTGCGCAGTAGACTTTTTTGTACTTGTTTTACGTACAAAAACACGCAGACTTTTATGTCTATGGTCATTGCTCAAGAAATTGGGCGGGGGATGGTCAAACAAGAAACTTGCTTGATGATCACCTACTCTCAGTATCTGTCCGATACTGGGTTTGGCGAACGGGTTAGGGAGTAGCGCAAGTCGCAAGGATCCCCTAATCAAGGCCAGAGGACTATCCTTCACGAGGTTGCCGCCCGTTATTGGTCAAATACCTTCTGTAATTGACGTAACAGAAACCTCTGGCCGGACCTCAAATCCCGCATAGCCGAACCGTGGCGGCGCATATCCACACCCGGGCTCACATGGCCTAGGGGAACTAAATACCCCCTAAAATATTGTACCACACACCCTTGGGCAGGAGTCGTGTGCGTTATTTGGCATTCCCGCCAAAGCCCCAAACCCAAAACATGAGTGCTGAAAAAGAGATAACAGTACCCCAGGAGGGTATCGCGAATAGCGAAGAATCCCTCACCAAGCCTAGCTTGGTCTGTCCCGCGTATTCTGGGGGGGACAATCAGCGCTCAGGGAAGGGCGCAAGCCTGGACCTGTCTGGCCTAGCTGAGGCCATAACTTCAGCTACAACAAGCTCTACAACACCTGCACAAACACAGTGGACTGTGGTCGCCCATAAGCGCCCCTGCAAAGGGAAGACTGCTAGTGCGGCGGCCACCCACAAACACACAAACAAAGGTTCGCAGGGCCGAACAGAACGCAGTCGCCACAACCGGCGCGCGAGAAGGGAAGCCCTGCAGCCCAAAACCAAACCTAACAGTACACAGTCGGTCACCGCAGCAGTGGAAACACAGCGCGAGCCTGTAGAAATACAGAGGGCCGACAATACAGACAACACAAACGCACACAAAACACCACGACGGAGACCGAAACCGAGGGGTGATCGTGGTCGGCGGACCGCTGCGGAGGCTCCCACTGCTCCTGAAAAGGAGCAGCCTGGGGCTGCGTGTGGCTCGGGCGAGGCAGCTTCTACGAAGCGGCCACGACTGGACGACACGCAGTCTCCAAGGGGGGATGCCAAACGCGCGAAAACCGACGCGAAGACGAAGCGGACGGTGAGCTACGCAGATGCGAGTAAATCGCATCTGAGAGTAGCGGTCACCACCGTCCCGCCGAGGGACCTCTCGGCTGAGCAGGCGGAACAGCTGAAGGAGACCATCGACGATGGGATCCTGCAGGCAGTTCTGGCTCCGCAGTCTCCAGATGCGCAGGCTCCAGCTTTCCGCGGGCGACCCTTCCTTACGGACGGGGTGCTAGCGATGTGGTGTGAGGATGAGAACGCACTCAAGTGGCTAGAACAAATGGTGAAAACCATCCCGTCACCCATACAGAACACCACATTGACGGTCATTAGGCTGTCGGATGTGAAGAAGAAACTCAGAGCTGGGCTTCTTCTCCACACCCGCATCACTGAGTCTGCCACACTGCAGAAACTCCTTTGTGCCCAGAACCCCTGGTACAAGGTCGAGTCCTGGCAGTGCTACGACCTGACCGTGGATGATAAACCGGACAGCAGCTCTAAGGAGAAGGTGGTCCACCTGATCCTTGGAATACCCGAAGACCAAAAACCAGCAATACTGGACAGGGAACGCCGTGTTGCACACATGTCTGGCAGCGGATATATCCGCTTTTTCGCGACAGACGAAGCAACAGTGGTTGACCCGACAGTAGAAACACCGAGTGCTACTACAGAGCAGGAAGGCGCTGCGATCCCGACACCCACCACCTCAGCTCCCCAACCGGGTCCGAGCGCGATGGAGGAGGAAGCAGACCTTAGCTCTGAGGACAGCGTTAGCGACGAAGATAGCGTCCTTCGCAGTCCCTAGTAGCACCATCAGTATAATCCAGACCAATCTCCAGCACAAGCAGATAGCGGCGGCCACACTACGCAGAGTGCTGGAGACAAACAACATGACCGTCGCCCTGATTCAGGAACCCTGGATCAGAAATAATAGGATCTGCGGTCTGAACAACATCGGTGGTAAGTTACTTTTAAACACATCTGTCGATAAACCAAGGACATGTATTTTTACACCCAAGTCTATAAAAACAACCATGCTTAACCAATTCTGTTCTAGAGACCTCACAGCTGTGACGATCCCCACAGATAACCAAACAGTCCTGGTACTAGCTTCGGTCTACATGCCGAATGAGGGGGAAATTCCTCCGAGGGAGCTGACCGAGCTGGTACGACACTGCGAGGACCACAAATGGGAGCTGATTGTAGCGGCAGACTGCAACGCACATCACTCACTGTGGGGAAGTAAGGACACAAACAAAAGGGGTGAGTTATTAACTGAATACTTATTCCAAACCAACCTTAACATCATGAACATTGGGACGGAGCCCACATTTGTTAGCTCTAGGTACCAAACTATCATAGATATAACACTAGCGACACACGCGGTGGCCAATCTAATCGAAGGATGGCACGTGTCAAACGAACCCTCCTTTGCAGACCACCGCAGGATATGTTTCCAATTACAATACAGACAAATAGACCCTGTTCCATATCGCAACCCCCGAAAAACAGATATAGCAAGGTACGTAGAACTAATAAATAAAACACTAAGCGAGATGCAAATACACGATGAAATCCCTGATATAAACAACATAGAAACAAACGTACAGTTCTTCACTTCAGCGCTTCTTAAAAGCTACGAACTGACGTGTCCTACCATCGTACCGAAAGGCCTGGGTAAAAGTTCCTGGTGGGGGCCAGAACTTGAGAAACTACGTAAGGAACTCAGGACACTCTTCAATCGAGCGAAAAACACCAGAACCAATGAGGACTGGGACAGATATAAAATAGCACAAAAACACTACAAGAAGCGGATCAGATTCCGGAGTAGAGAAGGATGGCGCGGTTTCTGTAGTAGTGTCAATTCAACAAATCAAGCTGCCAGACTCAAGAAAGTTCTGTCCAAGGACAACTCCAACCTCCTTGGATCTCTGAAAAGAGAAGACGGCACTTATACAAAAACAGAAGAAGAAGCCAATGCGGTGCTACTGGAAACCCACTTCCCAGGATGCCAACTGGCGCCAGGCCTGGAGTGGACGACTGAGCACCACAATGCACCAACAACCCAGGAATGGGACCTGGCAAAAACAATAGTAACGGCGGAAAAGATAGAATGGGCTCTAAAAAGCTTTCAACCATTTAAGTCAGCGGGACTAGATGGCATATTCCCGGCGCTACTACAATGGCAACTAGGTCAGGCAATTAGATACCTACAACCTATCTTTAGGGCCTGCCTGGCCTTCAAGTACATACCAAAACCATGGAGAGAGGCAAAAGTAGTCTTCCTACCGAAACCAGGCAAGGACGACTACACACAAGCCAAATCCTTCAGACCAATAAGCCTAACCTCTTTTCTCTTAAAAACATTGGAAAGACTGGTAGACCGACACCTTAGGGATGGAGCACTAAGTAAAGCTCCGCTGCACCCTCAACAACATGCCTACAGAAAAGGCAGATCAACAGAGTCGGCACTGCATTCAGTAGTCCACAAAATAGAGTCGGCAATCACAAATAAAATCTCAACACTGGCAGCCTTCATAGACATAGAAGGTGCGTTTGACAAAACGATGCACAACAGCATTAACCACGCCCTAAGAAAACTCAAAGTGGACCAAGTCACCAGAGGTTGGATCACCGAACTGGTGGGCAAAAGGGCGGTTCAGATAGTGGGGAACGCTACCACGCGTGCGAAGGTAGTCAGAGGATGCCCACAAGGGGGAGTCCTATCACCACTTCTCTGGAACATAGTAGTGGACAGTCTCATACGGAGTCTGAATGACAGAGGATACACTACTATTGGTTATGCAGACGACCTAACAATTCTGATAAATGGGAACGCTGAAAATGTCCTTTGCAAGGTTATGCGTTCAGCCCTTCAGATTGTGGAGAAATGGTGTGACGAACATCACTTGTCAGTAAACCCGAACAAGACAGAGCTAGTCCTTTTCACCAACAAAAGGAAGCTACCTGAACTACAGTTACCAAAACTGTTTAACACCAAACTCTCCCTATCAACACAAGTGAAATATCTGGGCATAATCCTTGATAACAAACTGAATTGGGCGAGTCATATTGATTTAAAAACAAAGAAGGCCTGCATAGCTTTTAATCAGTGTAGAAGACTAGTTGGCAAAAAGTGGGGTCTAAGTCCAAAGATCACCCTCTGGTTATACACAGCAGTCATCAGGCCCTCTATAACCTATGGTTCAGTTGTTTGGTGGCCCAGGACCCAACTGACCACAGTGAAATCCAAACTCCAAAGTCTACAACGCTTGGCGAGCGTAGCAGCAACCGGATGTATGAGAACAACTCCATCGGCTGCATTAGAGTACCTCATGAATTTAAGACCATTGGACCTGGTCATACAAGAAGAGGCGAAAGCAGCAGCCCTGAGACTAAAATCTCTAGGATTATGGAGATTAAATACTGTAACAACACACTCCAATATTCTACAAAAGTGCACGAAGGAGATCCCACTCCTGGAGGCACCTATGGATAGAATATTAAGTCAACACGTCTTTGATCGAAGATACAATATCCAACTTACCGCGGAAAAGGCAGATTACTCCGGCGCCGGGGAAGTTAGGATATACACGGATGGCTCCAAAACCAACAGTGGCACTGGAGCCGGTGTCTTCTCAAACGAACTGAATATTAAAATATCTACAACCCTAGGCAAACAAAGTACAATCTTCCAGGCGGAATGTATTGGCATTACCAGAGCGGCACAGGCGGTTGCAGCCAGAGATATCAGAGAGTATAACATCAAGATCATCTCTGACAGTGCATCCGTGCTTCAAGCCCTACGTAGCAACACAATAAACTCTGTCCTAGTAATGGAGTGCCACAAGGCACTTCAATCCATTGCGGTTAACAACACGGTAACTCTGCAATGGATAAAAGGACACAGCAGCTCAATTGGAAATGACGCAGCAGACGAACTGGCTAAGAGGGGAGCAGACACAAAGATGTACGGTCCGGAGCCTTTGCTGCCCATACCTCAGGCCCAAATTAAAACGTGGCTGCGTGAAATAACTCATAAATCACACTTGATGGAGTGGAAAACAGGTGAAGGATGCCGGCAAACGAAAAACGCGGTTCCGGCGGTAAATAAAAGTTTTGCCCGCACCCTTACCAGACTAAATAGGGACAAACTTCGCAGGATTATAGGATCCCTGACTGGTCATTGTCCCCTGAACAAACACCTATATACAATGGGGGTTACAGACAGCCCCCTATGCAGAGGGTGCATGGAGGCAGAAGAAACGCCACAGCACGTCATCATGGAATGCAGGAGTGTGGCCGACCAACGGGCACGACTTCTCCAGTCACCAGAATCGTTTCCGGAAGCTTGCAGCAGTCTATCAAGGCTGCTTTCCTTCTGGACCGATATAGGCTGGCTGGAGTAAGCGGGAATGTTTATGAGATACGCACAATGGTCCAATAATTAGGACTAAGTGCGGAAACCGCCCGGAAAAACTAAACTAAAACTAAACTGCTCAAGAAATTAGCCAGGATGTATACCATGGATTTTCTGCAGGGGAAGCGTCCACCTTACAAAAGGCTGAAACCAAAGATTAATGTTAAGTGCAGGGAATCTTCCTCCAAGAGGTTGGGTAATGGGGCTGGCAGTCAGTAATATTCCCTGGTATCATCAGGGCAACCATATACTTGGTAGCTACCCTTCTCACATAAAAAATACCCAATTAAATGAATTTCAAGAGATAAACAGAAATGAACCCTTCTTATATACTTACCATTTCTAAGAAACCCCTAGAAGCCGCAAAATGTAATGCAGTTGTCTTTTCGTGTGTTTTATAATTCACAGAACTTCCTGCAGTCAAAAGTTCTGTAGCAATTCCTCCGTGATTTTTAATAGCTGCTACATGTAGTGGTGTCAACCCATCTCCAGCAGTGAGATCTAGTTTGCAACCTTTAATACAAATGAACAAATTTTGAATGAATCATGACATACTGTCATGATGTTGATTTTTTCTCAGTAGTCTAAAACTCTGGTTCTTTATAAATATAACATTCTACCAGAGTTCTTTATACTGAGACCCAAGCTCAAACTTTGTCAGATCTGTAGTTGTATCCATCATAGTCAAATTTAGTATATAAGAAGGAGCCAGTTTGTTCTTACGACCGGTAGAGGTGCTGCTTAGTTTTCATAGTAACTTTGACATTGCGATATGATCAAGTAGCTGTCAAAGTTTGTACTTGGGCCTCAGCTCCAATTTAAAATTTGTAATAGAAATAATAATAAACTCTCAATATTTTTCTCAAGTTGTTATTACCAAATAATAAAAGCACATAACAATGGACCCTGTTGGGCAAAGCAAACAAACGACAAGAGGATATTTTGCTAAAAAATAATTATATATGTATTTTAAGCTTTCCTTAAATAAGGGAAGTATATTGTATATTTCTATACCAGCATTCAACAATAAGCAAACTACTGCCTCATGCCCTTGCTCCGCAGCATAATGAAGAGCAGTCCTCATATATGTGTCCTGTTGGTCTATGCCGTTTGTAGCTGCTGAAGCTGAGGCTATGGCTGCACCAGTATTCTCCAAAATAGCTGCATACCACCTAGACATATAATTATAATTTACAATGTATTTATTAAGCTAAGCAATAAGTTTTGAAGGTTGGCAAAAATGTTAATAATGATAAACTTGTATTTTGTGAAAAATTACTATCACTAGAACGTTTGCTAGTTCATCTATTAAATATATACCTTTGGGTAAAAAGGTCGTATAAACCAAAACCTGACTTTTCAGGAGAGCAGAAAAACAATTTATTTTTTTTACATAAAAATTCAAAACTTTATTGTTTTTGAAGTTATAAAAAAATTATGTATGAGAAAGGTTCTTACAATTTGCAAATGAAAAAGGTTTAATCATCAAAACCTATCTATCTTCTTTAGTTTTAAAGTTAGCTTGGATTTAGGTCTAAGGAAAAATCTATTCTTAGTTAATACACCCCAAGAAAATGTACTTTAAAAAAACTGTATAGGTTGCATATACTTTTTTGGTAAGCTTATGGTCACATTTACTGCCATAAAACCCCACATATAATGGTTGATTCAAATAAAATAAAACTACCTAAAATACGAAATCAACTTTTATTAAGTATTATAATACCAGGCATACCATAACAAAACTACAAAAAAAATCAGCTTTTACATTGAAAATTTACCTTTTTTAAGAGGCTATGACGGAAAATTTCTAGGTCATATTAACCATTTTTGTGTGAATTTCTGCAATTTGTATATACAAATCTGAGGAAAATGGTATATATAACTAAATTTGGCCAAAATGGTTTATACGACCTTTCTACCCATTTGGGTATCGATATGGTAACCAAGCATCTATAGATCATTTTTTCTTATCGGTCATAGGTGCCACTACCTAAGCAGTTCAAACAAACTGATAAAATATACTTACTTGTACATTGAACTCCAAGTTTCATCTTCACTGGTGCCGACAACTGGTGTATCACTGTTGATTTCTTCATCCCATTCCAAGTCTGATTGAGGTGATGGTGTCAAAGGCAATGGGCTTGTTGGAGATTTCAAGCCAGGAACTTTGTTTTCATCACTACTAGATCCTTCACTATGTATGAACACAAAATAACCCTGATTTTTCTCAAACTTACTACCATCTTGTCTAGAAGCTAAACTTTTATACTGGCCTGTGTCATTAGATTCTTTTAATTTCTTCTCATTCATGTTTTTACACTTAACAACTGTTTCAGGTTGCCAATCATGTTTATATTTTCTTTTATGTGATTTATAGTTCCGCTTTCTTGCTACAACATTTCGGGGATTGCTTAAAGTACTCTCTGATATGGTAGCCTCAATCAACAACTTGACAATTGAAACATTACCAATATTTGCAGCTTCACCCAAACAAGTTTTACCATAACTAACAGACTTATTTGGGTTTGCACCTAAAATGTAAACAATAATCGTGTTTGTTAACATGATGTAAGTATCTTGAACCAAATATAAGAAATATTTGGTTCATAATCTTTACAACATAATGTAAATAAAGTCACTAATTAGTATCAGAAATAAAATTCATTTACTCCCACAGCAAACCCTTTTTAGGATATACTGTACTTCCAGGGCCCAAAAGTAAAAACTTCACAGTTTTGTTGGTTGTAATTTCGCATTTTTGTTGTTAAAAAGGTTTCTGTTAACCACATTATTAAAAAAAATGTCACACTTATGCACTGGTAGTTTTTTAGAAAAAAATATTGAAAATTTTTACTTTTCTTATCAAGTGGTGATATTTCACACTAGGTTAGGTTAGGTTAGTGTTGTGACCATAACGCGCGAGCCGAGCGAGCAAAGCGAGCGTGCCGCGGCAGCGGCCGGCGAAGCGCCAGAAAAAAAAACTGTTAAAAAGACCTTTTCTACAAAAAAAAAAACAAGTATCACCTTTTGGGCCCTGGAAGTACAGTTTTACCCATTTTTAATTAAAATTAACCTTTTGACAGAAGGTGTGATACTTTATCTTGATCTTGTTTGAGAATAGCTTGATATAAATTATCCTCTAATGATTTCTCCATTGTTTAAAGTTCGGTATTCTTTGATTAACACTTTCAATATTAAATCAAGTAGTGAATTCTCAAAGTTATTCTCTAGAATGGAGATTAAAGATCATAACTTTGTATCTCAGTTCAATCTGCATTATTCGTCTACCTCTTCTCTTCTTGTGCAGTCAGTGCACGAGCGCAGAACAATAGAGTGGATATGGCCAGAATGCATTTCTTTAATAAACCTTAAAGGACTAAATCCAACAGCATTTCACCACTTCTACATGATCACTAGGTATATTTAGGCGAGTAATAAATACATCAATAAATATTTTGTTCTTTTATGAATTGAAAACAGACTCATTAGCAATTACAGAAAGAAAACAAACATATGCTGATATGTCAACGTCATTTTATTGCTGTTTTAATTTCACATTTTGAAATCAAATGATACGAAATCACACAGTGTAACTGATCAGAATCGGAATTTATAGTATTTTTTTTTAATTATTTATTGTTTTTTGTAATGTGTAATATTTCTAGCACATTACATTTCTAGACAGTCGTATTTCCTATGTTTCAGCAGTAGCATATTTCAGTGTTACCAACCCTTACCAAAATTTTCCCCTAAGTATTTTTTAAATTCCCCTAAAATCCCCTAAATAATATAGATTTTTTTATGTACCTACTTATTATCTAAATTCTTTCGTTGCTCATAAATTAAAACGTTACATATTTAGTTACAGTAAATTATTTTATTGAATAAATACAGTTTCCGAAAGGAAAATCAAACGAAAATGAGCTGACAGCAGGCTGTTATTCATTAGGTTTTTCAACAACCAATCACAGCAGTAGACATGTGATTTAATAGTGTGTCAGTTAATTAACAAGCTTTTATTAGTTTCACCTGTATGTATGTAACTGACTCGTTTGGGATCGAATTTGATCCACTTCCAGGTTTCCGATTGAGCTGAAATTTTGCATGCATGTATTAATCGGATGTCAATGCAACATCATTATGACATAGAGCTGATCTGACGATGGAGCTGGAAAGTGGCCATAGGAACTCTGTAATTAAACGAAGCAACCCCATTGAGTTTGGGCTCGTTTAATTCAACTTGATAAGTACTTTTATACTATATGCTAACTAGGGTCTGATGATGGAGCTGGAAGGTGGCCATAGTAACTCCGTAATTAAACGACGCAACCCCATCGTTTTTGGGCTCGTTTGAATCTTTGACGAGTATCTTGGTTGGCTTGAATATGCAACGCCGACAAATTTGGGAAAAAAGTTTGTTCCGTTTGTTATGAATGTGGATATTGTCCGAAGTTTTGTTAATAGCCCTTAAAAACCCCCAAAAAAATTCCGGCCCCTAAAAAAGGCCGTTTTAACACTTCTAGCCCCTAAATCTGGGGGCAAAACCCTTAAGTTGGGAACCGTGGCATATTTCTAAGAAATGTAAAAGAGATTATTATTGATGTGAAACATCTTTCCTCGATATCAGATAAATGGCATCCGATGCCGGCATCGCATAGATGCCAAGTGAATATCAGTATCATAGTATCATAGGATGCGATGCGATACAAATTACGCCAGATGCGTGTTAAGGGTAACATTGACAAAAACTAGATGGCATCGGCATCCAATAACGGTACCCAGTCGCATCGTATGCGCGCATCCAAACCTGGATTCGTTATCACGTTCACGCATCATTATTCTAAAAACGCCCACCCCGTGAAATGCGGATATCTATCCGTCTGTGTATCTATCGTCTAACATGCATCTGCATGTTTTGTGTGATTGTTAAAGTAGCTTTGTTCCTTATTAACAGAATTATAAACTACGGGACTTGTTTTTTTCTTTTCAGTTTTTATTTGAAGTATAATTAAGCAGTCGGGTTTTTTGATTTTTTAAATTAACCTTTTTTTAAAGTGTTAACTTTTCTAAACAATGACCGACAGTTATTTGGCCATTTATTATGTCCTGCAGTGTCAGGTTGATCTTTTCTTTGGTTGCTACAGTCTCTGCAGATCTTCTTGAAATATTATTCGTCTTTTTGAGTTTATTATAGTAAAAGATACTGTCCTTCCTAATTCCCTCCAAAAATTTAAGTATATTAGGTTTTGATTTCATATATCTGTTTACTTAGTTGTGACATACTACAGTATTGTTTGTTTTATGGTCTTTATTATAGGTGCACCATATTGGAAAATAAATGTCATTTTCTAACCAGGTGCTGACAAAATAATCATCAAAAGCTGTAATGCCTTTGCCCTTCGGACAGTCTTCCATTTTGTAAAGCCACTCTTCAGTGATCAAATGTAACGGGAGGTGGAACAGCACTGAACATAACGTATATTTTGCCATGTTTTGATTTTGTGGCGCCCAACTGTTTTGCTTTTCTCCATTAACATCTAGTAAAATGGAAAAAACATCCAAGGATGCACCGGATTGCCAATATAGCAGGCACTTCAAAATCCATGCTTATTTTTAAAGGGTTCCACTGAGGTATACGAAAAAATTAAATTCTTTTAATGCTATATTTATAGTCGGCGAATACTAAATTTTCATACTTTTTGGGTATTTCGATGTCAATAGCTTTCTTGGCTTCACGTTTTTTCACTCACAAAATCTTATTTCTCCTCTAATATAAACTTTTTTTTATAATTTGATATACTAAATCCAAGCCGGTATTTTTTATTCTTTCGATGGTTTGTTCAAATAAAGTTTAGATGGGTTTTACTCTGAACAATGAACTATCTTTAAAGCATTGGTTCATTTCAGATTCAATAATGAGATCTGATGTATTGTGTTTCTTGGAGGGTGACAGTGATTGGTTGAATCAACAATTGTTCCACGCAATATTTTAATTGTAGCATTGCAGAAAGCCTTCTTTCGGCACATCCATTAATTTGATCCATTTTTATTAGTCCTCTTGAGTATGTATTCATAGTTTGACCCACTTGACATTACCATCGCCATAACATTGATGAGAAGTCATAATCATCACTTAACCAATCGGGATTGATTTGCTAAATAGTAACTGGGCCCTTTTTTGTTTAAAATATATGTAAAAGGCTAAGCTACTTTATATAAACAGGTATGGTTCTCGTTTTTTCAGTTTCACAATTTAATACAATTATTTTTTTCAATATACTTTTGTACAATTTTTGCGCGGTGGGTTAGTTAAATAATACAAATTTAAATTGGAAACTTATTTTTATTTATCTTGGTAAATAAAAATCTTTATTGATTATGTTATAGTAATAAGCATAGAAAGAAAAACAATAGGCTAGTTGACCCTTTTTGGAAAAAGGTTTTAAATGGTTAATAAATGTTCTATTAGACCGAAAAAAATGTATTGTATTTTTTTGAGACCTAGAAAGCTACAAATCTTTAATTTTAAAATAGACTTTTCATGGACATACAAAAAAGCTGCCGGCCATTTTAGTCTATAGATTATCTATGCTATGACGTTGACAGTAGTAAACAAAAACTCGTAAGCACGTAGAAAATAACCCATCTGAGTTTCTATTAAAAAGAAAACATGATTTCTAATAGATACCACGAAAAATATAGTAATTATTATTATTGTATTGTACGAGTATGTAAAAAAAAATCTTTGAAGACTCCAGGAAAGTTGTGCCGAAAGAAATTAACCTACGCAATATCTGGTTAGAACTTGCTAAAAGGGATCCTGCAACTTTAACGCCTCATAGTAAAATTTATTTTTGCGAAAATCACTTTGATGTAAATACTCATTGAATAATATTTTAAGTCTCTTCATTTATTATCAGTTTTAATAATACAAGTTTTAAAGTTATGTATGAATGACATTTAGTTGTTTACTAAAACAGACGTCACAATCATGGCGGATGTGGCGAACAGCGTTTTTAGTGTTTAAAAAGTATAGACTAAAAATTGTTTTTTTAAATTAAATTTCTACAGCAATCTTCTGCTTTTATGAAGTGAAATCGATATATTTAGGTTCCTTAGACAAAATACTTTAAGAATTAAACATTTATTTAATACAATTCGACATGAGTCAACTAGCCTATTGTATATTTAATAAGTATTTGCACTTACCTATTTGACAAAATACTTCTGACCACATACACTTGTACACCTTTAATTTGTTTAACTATCTCTAGTGCTTTCTCTGTAAACGCATCGCAAATATGAGCTCTCTTTTAGAAGTATTGTAGTTGTTATTATGATTACTAACCCGTTGACCTTGACAAAGGGATGTCATTGGTCGAAGAGCAAACCGACATAAAAACCATGTTAAACTATAGGGATGCGTAAGAGAGATAGCACTACACATGTGCACAACATTTTAGTGTGTGCATTTCCTACCGATAAGATAAACACCGTGCGTGTTCCGTGTTATTTTTTTTTTGTTTTAAATTAAACTACTTTGAATAAGTTTATTTAAATAAAGAACTTAGTTCGGTTAGTTATACATTTATCACTCTAGAGTGGCTGGATTGATTTTCATGATGTTTCATTTATATTTGTCATCACCCCGAATACAAATATACTAACGAGCCTTTGTCGTTAACTATACTTTTAATCAAACACTTCTTTATTTATTTTTGGTCCCAACTTAGCACTCAAAATAATACCTTTGGTCCCGAATGCCGCCTCAAAATAATTTATTAATTCCATGTTCCCATCAGGACCAGTGGTCCCGGTCCCAAATGACTACCGACTCATGTTCTGAGGGAGTGCAGAGGCGTTGCAAGACAAAGGACTTCTCTAATGGGAACTAACCGCGGACACTAGTAGAAGCCTGCAGCAACATCCGGGGACTGCTGAGCTTTCTGGAGGAGCTGGAATGACAGGACTGATGCCAATCCCCACGCAAAATAGGCACTGGGTGTCGAGTTGCGGATACAGCCCACCGTACTACTAAGACTAAGTCATATATTAGTACTTTAGGTCTTGTTTCATACAAAAAAAAATACAAATATTTTTTTTGTGGCCAAACTATTAGGTTTAGTGAAAAATGTTATATAACATGTCTTTACGAGTGTCTGAAGGACTATCAATCGGCATCCAAAAAAATACGATTTGTCAAAAAAAAACCTCTATGTCCCTCATATTACTCTTTCGACCCACTGTGGGCGGCCGGCTCTCGTGGCCTTTTCAAAGCGCTGTGCGCCGCTTACTCTTTTCCATGTATAACATAATTTCTCCTTCTTTATTAGGGTTTAACTAAATTTTTTAATTTCTCAGTATCTTCGCCGCGCCTCCTGGTGTACATTGTACCTAAAAAGGAACCAAGCCAATTTTGTTTTCGTAACCATTCGTTAGATGGCGCTGTTTACTTTATACATCGCGCATGGGTTTGGTTCACAGCGTGACCATAATACAGTTCCTTACTATGTTTATTGTTACCTTTTCCAATATCCTTATTGGACTATTAATCGCAATAATTTTTATAGTGGTACCGGCTCTGGTACTACATATTATTACGAAAAATTGGAATTGAAAACAGGTTTTATATAGATTACTGCCTGCGCAGACTACGGAGTTTTGTCCCCGTAGCGCACCATAGCAATCTCATTTATTATCAATTTATAGTTCTCTTTGTAGTTTCCTTTCAAGCGTTCACTTTTAATAGGTCAAAGACTGTGTTCGATCCTTTTTTATTGGTAGTGTAAAGCTCGAATGAAAAGTACTCCCAGTAGTGCAATCATGGCA